AACCAGCCAGCCCCTTGGGGAAATTGGAATCATATCTTCCTGGTCACCTGTCTGATCGCCTTGTTCTTGGACCCTATCTACTTCTTCCTGTTTTCTAATCTTGCACCCTGGCTGCATGAGCATCGACGTTGGCCTGGGAGTTCTTGTCACCTTCTTCAGGACGGTGGCTGATCTCTTCTTCTTCATGCACATCCTCATCAAATTCAGAACCGCCTTTGTCGCTCCCAGCTCCCGGGTTTTCGGCAAAGGCGAGCTTGTCATGGATCCCAGGGCCATTGCCATTCGCTATTTGAAGTCTGATTTTGTTGTCGATCTCACCGCTGCCCTCCCTCTCCCTCAGGTTTTTTTAGTTTCTTATCGCATTAAGCTTTCGGGATAATCACTCAATAACCAATTAGTGTTAGTTAATATAGTCGCCAATTAAGCTACAGCTGGATTTAAATCTTGAGAACTTTAATATCTGCGCATTTACATGTCTGAGTCTGTCTTCATTGCCAGTTTGAGTTTTGTAAATAATGAATAATAGAAATATATTACAAATTTGCAGGATGTTGTAATTATCCAAGGCACTATATTTTCTATGTACTTAAACTTGAGTTGATTTTGGCAGATTGTAATTTGGTTTGTGATTCCATCATTAGAAACTTCAACAGCTATTCATGCTAATCACACGCTTGCTCTGATGGTTCTTGTTCAATACATTCCTCGATTCTTTGTAATGTTTCCTCTAAACCGGCGAATCATTAAAACCACCGGTGTTGTTGCTAAGACTGCTTGGTCAGGAGCCGCCTACAATCTACTTCTCTATATGCTTGCTGGCCATGTAATTTCCTACTATATTTGTCATTTTATAACTAATCTTTTTTTTGCTTTTCTGGTTGCTTGTCATTGTTATCTTTATGGTCTAAAATTGTCAGTGCAGGTAATTGGAGCTTCATGGTACGTGTTGTCTATTCAGAGGCAGTTTGAGTGCTGGAAAATAGAGTGTACAAAGGAGTACAACCGAACACACTCTCCGTCCTGTAAACCTTCGTTTCTTGATTGCAGCACTTATGGAAGACCCGACCGCATAGCCTGGCTGAAAGTTACTCGTGTCATTACTAGTTGTGATGCTAGGAATGATGATGATAAAAATTTTCAGTTTGGGATGTTCGCTGATGCTTTTACTATCGAGGTTGCGTCCTCAGCTTTCTTCCAAAAATATTTTTATTGCCTTTGGTGGGGCATCAAAAGTCTGAGGTAACTTTCTGATTTGCTGCTTTATCTAAGTTACATAATTGATGATTTTGCCTATTCAGTTGGTTTGATTTCTAATGCCTTTGTGTAATGCAGTTCATATGGGCAAAATATTGCCACAAGTACTCTTAGCAGCGAAACGGTGTTTGGTATTATTGTTTGCATTGCTGGTCTTGTGTTCTTCTCACATCTAATAGGCAACATGCAGGTAAATACTCTAAATGAGACTGTAGTTTTATAGTCCTGTGTGTTTGGTTCTAGTGAGTTATCTTGTTTTGATAAATTTGTGTGTTTTGATGAAGACGTATCTGCAATCTACAACAGCTAGGTTGGAGGAATGGAGAATCAGACGGAGAGATACTGAGGAGTGGATGAGGCACCGGCAATTGCCCCCAGAGCTGCAAGAACGTGTACGCCGCTTTGTTCAGTACAAATGGCTTGCCACCAGAGGGGTTGATGAAGAGTCCATCTTGCGCTCCTTGCCTTTGGACCTTCGTCGCCAAATTCAGAGGCATCTCTGCCTTGCTCTTGTTCGCCGTGTAAGTGACACATCAAAATAAGCTTTTAGATAATTGATCACCATATAATTACTTACATGGTTGTTTTTCAGGTGCCATTTTTTGCACAAATGGATGATCAGCTCCTTGATGCCATATGCGAACGTCTAGTCTCATCCTTGAATACCAAAGACACCTACATAGTCCGAGAAGGTGATCCGGTGAATGAGATGCTTTTCATCATTAGAGGCCAGGTAGATAGTTCAACAACTGATGGTGGGAGGATAGGATTTTTTAACTCCATAACCCTCAGGGCAGGTGATTTTTGCGGAGAAGAGTTGTTGACATGGGCCTTGATGCCGACCTCTAACCTAAACCTCCCACTATCAACAAGAACTGCCAAGACCCTGACAGAAGTCGAGGCCTTTGCCTTACGAGCAGAGGACCTCAAGTTTGTGGCCAACCAGTTCAAGCGCCTGCACAGCAAGAAGCTGCAGCATGCTTTTAGATACTATTCTCATCAATGGCGAGCTTGGGCATCCTGCTTCATACAGGCTGCTTGGAGACGGTATAAGAAGCGGAAGCTGGCGCTGGAGTTGGCAAGACAGGAGAGCTTGTATTATATGCAACTTCTGGAAGATGGAGATGAGTATACCAATGAATATCTGGACGATGCAGATCTTGGGGATCATCAATGGACAATGC